AGAATGGCTCAAATGATGAAATGATATGCCTCACTTGGATGCCCCTAAGTTGTTGAAGTCGATCCGATTCTTGTTACGTATTTTCTGTATGATTCTCTTGATTGTGGAGTAATTCTCGATAGTGCGCCCTGGGACTCCGCTGCAATGAGCGTTCTCATCATACTACCTGGGGTACGGGGCTTCATGAATTTCTCTGGATATGGTGACACCACATGTGCGTCGAACAAATGTTGGTAAAGCTCCTTATATGTCATAGGGTCGAAGTGTTCTCATTTTTTGATGAATCATGTGAAGATAGTTAATGTGAATGTAAAGAAATGAACAAAATGCAAAATGTTTAAATGCATGAATCATGAAATGTCCGAGGCATTGATCCGAAAAATGTGCCTATTATTCTAAATAATCCTTATTGGGGACAAAAATGTTACGTCTGAAGAGACAAAAAACTTTTTGATGGTATAGATCCCGCACAGCCTCTGGCAAGTTGATTCGTCTTCCGCTTCTTCACCGGTTGAATATCCTGTCGAACCGTTCCAGCTCCTTTGGCTAAACTTGTGCGGGTGACGAGTTGCTTGCCCCAAAAAGATCTCGAATGACTGCATCTCCGGCCTTCACTCTATGCCGAGCTCGTTCCAAACGAAAGTGTCTTTGGAGTCTTCCATCCGAAGTTTGTCGACTTGTTTTTGGAATTCATCAATTAATGGTCTACAGCTTAGTTGGGGTTCCGCCACTTGTTATCGTAGTTTTCAAAAGGAGTTTCTGGGCCAGTAACATTTTCCTCGTCTTGCCCCTGCAACCTTTGCCTCTGAGTATTTTTTGACCACGGCTGGACTTCTGAGCTTTTTATCTCTTTGTATTATAACCCCTTTGTCCATTAATACAAATTATTCATGTTTAACAAACACATTTTTTGTGGATCAATACCTCGTTTTAATGATGCGAATGATAAAAAAATGCCAAAGAATAAAAATGAAAGGAGGAAGAGAAAAAAAAGTTAGTGAGATAATGATGATAATAATAAAAATGATGAAAATGAAAAGTCTTACCCCACATGATAATCTACCCGAACATGCTTAATATTCTTACACAGACATGATTTCTATCCCGCATGCTAATTTCAAACAAATCCTAGCCGCATGTTTGTCTAGTTCGCATGCTTTGAACAGAAAATAAAGCAGGAAATAAAACAGCCTAGGGTTTGGAATGAGGTTTCGGGGTGGGCTCTAATTCCCTGTACTCTCCCGGTTTAGGTTCTAAAAGGTACTCGAGTTCTCCTTGCCGGTGCCCCCTTGGGCTTACCAGACCCTTAGTCCTAAACCCATCACAGGCTTGTGTGGACTAAGTTAAACTCGAGGGGACACATTCCCTTATGCCCGCACGGTGAATAAATTCACACGAAGACATAAGGTATATGAATCCCGAAGGCTACTTGCTAGGCATATGCGGTGAATAAATTCACACGAATGCGTCGCTTTCACCCCCACTTAAAAGGGTTCGGAGCTCGGGTATAGAGCCTGAGATGAAACTTTTCGAAAATCTGAGATCATTGAAAAAATGTTAGTACAACTATTTACTTGGAAAAATAATCAAAGGGCAAATAATTGGAATCGAATAAATAAATTAAAATCTAAATTTACAATTTTCGCATAAAAAGACAACCGAAAATTAATTCTGGCCTGACTCACTTACCTGTCCCCAGCGGAGTCGCCAAGCTGTCGCAACCGTCTTTCAGTTGGGCCCCGGAATTGGGCTTCGACTTGAAAAATGTGGATTGGAGTCGCCACCGATCATTTATTTTAAAATAAATGGGTTGATCGGATACCCTATGTCTTACCTGATCTGCGTTTTACCATAAATGTGTTGGGTTCGGGAGTCGGTTACGGTCAAGGAAGGATTAGCACCCTTGAACCGCCCTTTCGGTACCAATTAATTTACCGGTTGTCTTAATTGCGAAAATTAAAAATTTAAATTAGAATTTATGAATTAGATTATAATTATTTACCTCTTGATCAATTAAAATTATCCTAAAAGATCATTAAAAAAGTTAGTATTTTTAAAAAATAAATAAATAAATAAAAGGAATGAAAGAAAATCCAAGTGTAAGAAAACATAAAATAATAGCTAAAAATAAACAAAGATAAAAATGCAAAAATAAGAAAGCAGTACCAATTGGGAATAAACAGTTACTAAAATAAATAGACAGAAAATAAAGTGTCAAAATTAGAAATAAACAAAGCCAGAAACATGTTAGTGGCTAAATTAAAATAATGAAATTAAAATGCCAAAAAGTGAAATAAATAAAATGTAGAATTTTAGGGACCATAATGTAAAAAAAATGGTGACATTTAAGGGGGTTTAATGCAATTTTTACGCATATATTTTGGGGTCATTATGCAAAACACGGTAGGAATTGAGGGGACTTGAATGTGAATAAACCAATACTTTAAGCGACCAAAGTAAAAGATAACTACAAATATAGGCACCCTATGTCATATTAACCCAAAAAACCAAATTAAAAGCACTCATCTTTCTATCTTAACTCCAGATCACGTGAACCAACAAATATCCCTTTCCTTTTTATTTCGTGCGATGGAAACAGATCCCTAACCTTTCACAAATCTCACAGTGGCCGACTCCCAAAGGCTCCTAGCCCGCGTCGCCTCGGTTAAGAACCTTTTTCGTCTTTTTTATTTAGCTTCGAGATTGGTACAAAAGCTTCGATCTCCTTGTATATTCCTTCGTATTTTTTTGTGCAATTTCTAGTGTAAATCGTGTGATTTTGCTGGAAAGCTTCTGTGTTATTCACTGTTTTTTTGCTCGAGTATTTCGTATGTATGGGTGTAGAAAAAGCTTGCATTTCGTATGAAATCTCTGTGTTCCTTACAGAAGGGATTACAATGTATTTATAGTGTTCATGTACTCCTATTTTTGGGTATTTAAATCCTAGTAAAATACTAACGCTGGTGTGTTGATAATGGTCGAGATTCTCGGAGATAGTTGCGTGCGCATGGCGGCTGTTAAGAGTCCTCACATATGAGGGTTGCTGCGCTGGTGGAGAGGCGATAGAAGTCTGTTGGGCTTCACGTGTTTATGTTTCTGGGCGAAATTTGGTATCTTCAATACTAAAAGTCGATATATCTCAAAACACTCTTCCAATATCCTACAAAAGTATCTCTGCAACATAAATCTAAAAAATTCTCTTCAAATAATTCTCTCTCTAAGACATTATAATTATTTATAGAATGAAATATTTGGTCACTAATAATTTTTTCTTCATAAAATATCTTCCCTAATATATATATTTATTTTATTAAATAAACATAAATATCAAATAATCTTCTATTATTATAAATATAATAAAATTTAATTGAATTATCAATTATAATTTAGATCAAAATATAATATTGTAGGTAAAGATTTAAATTTCTGCATCATTTATTGGAAATTGGAGATTCCCTTTTTCATGGTATGCATTTTTTTGGGATCTTTTGTTAATAATAGGGTAAAATACTTGAATGACCATCCAACTATGGGGTTGGTATCAAAATGATCATCATTTTGCAAATTACATCAGTATGACCACTGAACTATTTAATTGGATTCAATATAGTCACCCGACATTGGTATTTAACGGAAGCGCTTACATGGTAGTTAATAAAATTGATATAATTACAGATTTGAACCTCAATGCTTGTACATTCAATCAATTTGGTCCTAATTTAACTTTATTTAATAAATTAACCATCCAATCAGAAAGAGACATATGCCACCATTAAATTAAATGATATTTTCCTTAATTTAAATTTATTTAATTTAATTATTTATCTTCCAACCAGATGGTGACAAGTAAGGCACAACATTGATGTCATGGGGATTTGAATTTGGGACCAAGTGGACCAAAACTACACAATTGGATTGTATTTTATAACATAATATAAATATTTTATAAAGTAGCTAATGATAGAAGAAAAAAATTAAAATGCTTAAGAAGGGATTTAAACCTAGGTTAAGAAACACTTGAAAGTACCAAATCACTGAACCAAATTATACATTTATATAATAATTTGGTAGATTTTATATATAAGCTTAACATTGATTTATACACTATTAACATAAAACTAAATTTAAAATGTATATAATTTTAAAATAAATTCAATATTTTTTTCACATTCATAATTCAGTGATTGTATATAATCTTAAATTGAGTCTTTTTAATTTAAAAAATAAAAATTAATGATAAATTTATATATAAATCTACCAAATTATTATATAAATGTATGGTTTGGTACATTCAAAAAAATTTTTGGCTTAAGTTCAAATCCCATAAGCATTTTTATTTTTTTCTTCTATCATTAGCTACTTTATATATATATATATATATATATATTATCTATTAAATACACCCCAATTGTGCAGGTTGGCTTAGTGATAAGGTGTGTAGTTTTGTTCCCCTTAGTCCCAAGATCAAATCCCCTTGGGGGCTGTTTGGTTGGTTCGGAAATCTCATTCTTGGTAATATGATTTTTGGGTATATTAATGGGAATGTCATTATCTCCCTTTCTTTAGGTATTGTTGGATTACCGACGTTTTGGGCTAAAATGCCCTTAATTTTTTTTCAAAAATATCATTCTTCTATCATTGAATAATACAAATTCTACGAATATTAAATTACAAATTTATCCTTAAACTATTTTAGATTTACAAAAAAAATCTATAATTAAATTTTTATATGAAGTTCAGGGGTTAAAATAAAATTTTACCCTTTCATTAAACCTTTTTATATTTTCAATTTTGTAAAAAAAATATAAATTTTATGAATTTAATTTTTAAAAAAATATATATAAATTTTTTTTAACTTGTTAAAAAACAAATATATAATAAGAACAATTTAGTCAAATATACATTCCAATAATCTTTTATTCCTTTAACCAAACATGGTAATCTTACATTCCTGCTAAACCAACCAAACACAAAATAAAACATTCTCAGTAATCCTATTCCCTGGTAATCTTACATTCTCACTGGTAATCTTACATTGCCACTGATAATCTTACATTCCGTTAACCAAATGCATCCTTAGTCCCTAATGATAAAATTCGATACAAAGATGGCAATAGGGAGGCATATTTTGATGTATCGAATTTTCTTTGTCGAGCAACTGATACAAGGCGATAAACCCTTGTTTCCTTCATAAATATGAAGATTAGTAGCAGTCAAGGAACCGCAAATGGGAAAGATTTCCAAGAGAAGGAGGTAACTCACCAGATAAAGCACAAGAGGACAAGCCAAGGTACTCCAATGCCGATAGCTCAACTATTCCAGGCGGGATATTCCAACCAAGCCGACGATCACTAAGATAAATTTGGGTGATGCTTCCAGCGGGGTTGCATGATATACCGGGCCAGTTGCAAGGCTGTGAAGTGTCGTTGCTATGGCCATTCCACCATCCACTCGTTAACAGAGCTTTGGCTTTAGACTCCAATGGCGACTGCTCTGCTGTTGCAGCAAAGGAAACAAGGATGGTTACCCAGAGAACAATGGGATTGGTGAAGGACGAAACCATGTTTAATTAAGCTTGATTATCTGTGTGCTACAGGCTCGGTTATTGCATTTTTCCAGAGTAATGAATAAATACAAGCTCAGTATTGCATCTTCTTCCACCAATTGGAAAGATTTTGCCCAACGTTCCCTTTACTTCAAGTGTTTACTTTGACTTGTATTCTTCGTTGGGCAAAGCTGTTGTATTCCTTCTACTTCCCCTTTCTCTAGTATGCAGAAACTACATGGAAACAACCAAGTGGGTTGATTGACTACTTTTTTCCACATTGGAAAACAGAGATCAAAATGGACATTCTCTTGTCTATATAGTATCCGCGTGTAGTTTACTCCTTTTATTTTACTCATTGTACTTCAAATCTTTTCAATTTCCCCACTTAACTTAATACATTGGGTTTTTTTGGTCACTCGGCCATTAAATAGTTAACGACGTTAAAATGAGCAGTTATATAAATGCAAACGATGTCACTTTGGTGAAAATTTTGTATTTAAGGGTAAATTACACCATCATCCCTGAACTTTACTCTCTCTCCTATTTCACTCATTGTACTTTAAACTCATTCAATTTCCTCACTGAATTTAATACAATTAGCATTTTTTATCACTCGGCCATTAAATATTTAACGATGTTAAAACAACGTTGTTTTAGAAAAATAAAACTTTCACCAAAACGACGTCGTTTTGCATCTATATAACAGCTCCTTTCTGACACCGTTTAGTGACAAAATGGTTGAGTGGCCAAAAATATTAATTGTATTAAATTCAGTGAGGAAATTGAACGAATTTAAAGTACAATGAGTTAAATAGGGGGAGAGTAAAGTTCAATGATGATTGGTGTAATTTACCATTTTTTAAACGACATCGTTTTAAATGATGTTAACTATTTAACGGTGTAGTGACCAAAATAGGGAAGAGATGACAAAGTTCAATGACAAAAAAAAACTCAATATATTAACAGTAGGGAAATTGAAATTTTTTAAAGTTTAGTGAGCAAAATAGGAGAGAGAGTAAAGTTCAGTACTGAAATTTATAATTTACCCTTATAACATCTTTTATTAGACTTATAGGAGAAAAATATTAAATTATTTTTAATTAAAATTAGGAAAAATATTAGGGATTGACATGAAACTCGAATCCGACAGGATTCGACCCAACCCTATTAGAAGAGATTTTTTAAAACAAATTCGAGTTCAAGTCAGATTTTTTAGAGATTATATTTGGGCTGGTCAGGTTCGGATTTAGGGTGAAAACTATCTGACTCGACCCAAAAAATATAATTTTAGTTTATATATTTAAGGGTAATTACAATAAGACCCCTCTATATATTATTTTTTCAATTAAATCCCTATTTTTATTTTTATAAATATATTATTTCAGGTCGGGTTGAATTCGAACGTTATCTCAAATGGACATGTCGGGTTCGATTCGGATGGAGGTTGCAATAAAACCCACCTCGACTCATGCTTATCCCTAGATAAAACTGGTTTATATATATTAAAGGCTCGATTCATTATTATTTTTAATTAAGAATAAATAATTGATTGTATAAATATGAAGAATTAAATATATAATTATACAAATTTATTTAATAGTCACGACAATGCACATATACTGATATAGATATTCAAACATTGAATCTCGAGAAAATTAATTATCTCTTTAATCATTGAGCTTACTCGATAAATGATTAGACATCATTTCTCAAAGTCCCAGGTTTCCTATTCTTCTTTTACATAATCTGCAAATCCAGTTTCCTATGATCAATGATCACAGTTGACTGAGAATCAGTAAAGTTCAAAGCTTTGATTTTCTTCTAATCTCTGGAGTGCCTAGGTTTTGCAGGTCAAATAGAGAATTCAGCTCCAATGATGCCAATTCCTTCTCCATCGATCCATGAAACTCGTCCTGAGATTGATGGTGATCCTCTTCATATTGATCTTCATCAAGATCTGTTTCTAGAGTACGTTTGATCTCTTTAAAATTGCTCATTTTTCTTGTTTTCTGTTTTAATGATCAGTGATGTTCATGGGAATTTAGGCTGTTGTACAATGCAATATGTATAGTTTTCTGTTTCATGGAAGAAGCATGGAAATCTCATCACTTAGAATCCTGGGAAAATCGAATATTCTTGCTTCGAATTCGTATATTGTTGCATAATGTTCCTCTTGTTGATTTGTTGTCTTGGTGTATCAACAATTAGGGAGCTTAGAGCTTCAACATTGTGTTCGATTAAATGCTGTTTTTATCTCGGTTACAGTTACTACGGTGGATCTACTCCGATTGCATCTGTGCCGCCGAAAGAGAGTTTCGGATGAATGATATCCCTAATGGAATTAATGACGCTCCTCCTACGATTAAGGAGAACGATTTAGCTTCTGCACCGGTTCCGCCTTGTACTTCGGGGCAAGGATTGCCTTATGCTCCTATAGATTGGCCAAACACCGGTGATGTTTGGAGCTGGAGAGTGGGGAAGAGGGTCAACAAGGATGGCTTTTACAGCGATCGATTCATCAATGTTCCGAAATGTCTTTGGTTTCGAGGAAGTCCGAAAATGTTTGCCAGCAAGCCAACGCTTGAACGTTTTCTCCTATCACATTTTCCGGATGCTGATATGAACGCGTTCTTTGCTTCATTTGTTTGGAAGATCCCTGCAGTTTTGGAGTCTCCCATGAAAGGTTGGCTGAAAATCATATACCATTCTCTGTATTTTGCTGCCCTTTTAAATGATCGATCTGTGAACTCTTAAGGTGAACAACGATCTCTGTTTTGTGCTTGTTTCGAATCGGTATCTAATGAGTCGAGTCATTAAATTTCATATCAACTACTTAAAGAAGTTTGAAATGCATTAGTGCCGGAAATAAGAACATAGCCTAGACTCCTAAGAGATATAGACACTGATGCATGCACAGGCATATATACTTCACCTTGTGGGACACTTAATACGGACTCGTTCGTAGCCAAAACTGTTCACAAGCATTTTTTCCGGTGTGTGTCGTAATAAACAATGGTACTAGATCATTTAGTATGCATGTTTAGCTTTGCATTTGCTCTTTTCATTAAGTTTCTAAGGGAAGAAGAGTGAGCTTTCACTCGAGCCTAATCGAATTAGTCGAGGTGTACAGTTCTCAAAGCTGAGCATACTTGTTTACTTACTCAGCACCAGCAGTAGGAATGGAGGATGCTAAAAGAGAAAGTAACACTATTGATGCTGAAAGAGAAAGTAACAAAAAGACCCCTCATGGTAGCGGGAGGAAGAGGAATCCCCCACCGACGACTCCCGTTTCTGAAGCAGTCCGAAAAAGCAGAAGACGACTAAAGGACCAGCATCGGTCACACCTAAGCGAAAAACTCGGCAGCGTGTTAAAAATTCTGCCCCGCCCCCACCCGAAACCGAAGATACAAATGGTGTTCCTGAATTGTCTTTCTTGGATGATGAAACAACAAGAGGTTAGAATATGAAACCATTGTTTATTTTAAAGCATCAATGCACGTTTTAGCGTTGTCTTTCATATGTTTTTACAGCGGAATTTGACAACTATCTCAACGCTTTGGATGAAATGCTCGTGCCACCTCTGTCCGAAGAACCGGTTTCTCTTCCAGAGCTGCACAACTACTTCGCTGCAGAAAACGAAATGGCTGAAGCTCGAATGAAACTGTCTTCGTTTCTCGATATGGATTTCCCTTCGTTGATTTGCTTCAAAGACCTGGATGAACTCACAAGTCTAGCATCTAAACTTCGGAAGGATCCTACCCTTACCGCTGAACAACTTGTGAAGTTGAAGCTGATCGAAGAGATTCCATCGTTCTGCGAGGTTTTCTTGGAGAACAAGGAAATTATGGAGCAGGCCGACAAGTTCTTTACAACGCTCGAGGCCAACAAGGCCAAGGTTACTTCACTCCGACAAGAGTACAGCGACTTAAGAGAACAGTAACACGTATACAATCCGAGGTCGATTCCAACACCTCGACCGTGCAAGAAATCGACAATCAGATCGCGCAACTCAAATCCCGTCGTGCACAGCTTAATAAGTTGATAGAAAACAGGAAGAAAGACAAGGAGGAACTGACATACAACCAAAAGCTGGTGGCGAACTCCATTCCAAAAGTCGTACACGAAGTTCAGCTCGCGAACGTGAAAAAGCCGAAATGGGATCGAAAGAAGGAGAATGCGGAAAGACGAGAGGCCGAAATACTTTCTAAATTTGCTCCTCTAAAAGGGTTTTCGCTTTGAAGAAATCCATCACTCTCAAAGAACTTAAAACACAGGTGTTATGGGACTAAACCTTTTAGTTTCCTATAACAGCAAAATAACCGAGGCTGATACTGGCATTATTCAGTTGCTATTAACTTGTGTGTATGCATTATTATTCAGTTGCTTTTGTTTTCGTTGATGTTTCAATTATTCATTTTGATCATTAAATTTAGGGTAAAGTACACAAATGGTCCCTCCAGTACAAGGTATTCCTTTATTGAGTCTCTCACTATTAAAAATTATAAAATAATCTCCTGACTATTGGATGCTACTTCTTTGAGTCCCCAGAATATTAAAAGCTACAAAATGGTCGCATGACTATTTATTATGTTCTAAACTCGCCATTTTCCGTTAAAAGGTTGCTGGCAACTTGAGTTAGATGTTAACAAGCTAACTGGAATATGATAAAATATGATCCCAGAATCTCAAACGACTATCATATCTTAGTCAACATGTTAGCGTCCAACTCAAATTTCCATTATTTTTTTATCGAAAAATAACGATTTTGGAACACAATGAATAGTCAGTGACCATTTTGTAACTTTTAATAGTCGATAGGCTCAAAAAAATAATGTACTATAATTGAGGGATCATTTTGTAACTTTTAATAGTCAAGGGACTCAAGAAAGCATTGTTCTATAGTCAAGGGACCATTTTTATACTTGACCCTAAATTTATTGAACTATTATAAAATTATCTCTAAAACTATTTTATAATTTTTAAAAATTCAATAGCAAAACGATTATTTGAATATAGTTTAGTGGCTTACAATGTATTTTATCCTTATTTGTTTTGTTTGTTTGGGCTGTGTGCTCTCGTTCGGTTATAGGCTTTTGGGC